CCCCCCCCCCCCCAAAAAAAATGCTATAGGCAACAGGTTTCTTCTGCCTGCTGTAAAGCAGGTAGGTAGGTAGTAGATGGGTGGGTGGATGGATGGATAGATAGGTAGACAGACAGACAGACAGACAGACAGACAGACAGACAGACAGACATGTATACACACATATATACATACATAGCTTGCAAATGACCCAATAAGAATATATACTTTCCTCACTGTCTTTTATACTACATATTAACATATATTAACTTGTTCATAGTTATACAATTTCATATAAATATCTTTTTTACAATTTTGCATTCAAAAAAACTCTATGGACTGCAATCCCATCTGTTGTTTTCTGGGGATTTTCTCAGTGAACTAATTGGGAACTGTTAGACTTATGTAGGGTTATGCTGTTAGTATTGTTTTTGTCCAGAATGCTTTCTTTTGCAAAACAGAAAGGTGGTAAGTCTTTTTAATTGGTTTCCATGGCTTAGGAACGCAACTGTAGTAGCTAAATACTGTATATGGCTATTATTGTTTTATTCACCAGCATCCATTTAAAAATAAGACTTATTTAAACAAAACAAAATGTTAAGTAAAATAGGAAAAAGATATGAGACTGTTTTTAAAGGCATGCCTAGCCCTGGAGATTATGCATGCCACTTTGTGACTCATTAGACTGGAAAGGTCTTGCAGTTTTATTTTATTTATTTTATTTATATTTCAAATGTGTCACCACCCATCTCACTACAGAGCATCCATTTAAAATAATTTTAATCTTTGTTTCAGAAGGGCTGCAACCATAAACATATGAATGAATCACACATGTCATGTGGGGCTTGTACCAACCATATCTTATTAGTCAATACTTTCATTTATATTGAAAACAGTTATTACAGACAGATGTCCAATATGTACTTGATACAACTGGTAACTGGTTTGCTGTGCCTGACAAACATAACAATTCCTGGTTATATTATCTACATTTATACTGACCAAAATGGGCTGGTACTAATATAAATGTAAAAGTTGGATATTCCCCTTATTAGAATTTAAAATATTCTTTTTTAAAGTCACTTTTTAAATTCCTATTATTCTTGAATGTCAGTGTGGAGATATATGAATTTATATAAGTTGATTCCTTGATGACTGATTTCCATGTTAAGAGCAGTGATGTATTCTTTCAACATCTGCCTACTGCTGCCCACTCCATAGTAAAGAGCAATTATTACATTACTGAGAATTTGATAATATACCACAATAAATCATTTAAAATTTTGAAATGCTTGTACTAGAAAAAAAAATCTACTAGCCAACTCTGGTTTTAAAAGGTAGAAGAAAAAGATTTTATCTGATCTTCATCTTTACTTGGTGAAGGCATATGGATACCTGAGGGACCATCTCACGCCTATCACATCAATCCATCTCACCCAGTCAGGCAGAGAGAGCATGTTACAGACCCCATCAGTGAGAGAATGTCAGCTGGTGGAGCCCAGGAGGAGAACCTTCTCTGCCCCCGCCCTCTGGAATATTCTCCCACCAAAGGTGTGGCAGGCCCCTACCCTCCCGTTTTTCTGGAAAGGACTAAAGACCTGGCTCTGCCAGTTTGTGTGAGGCAATAAGCTTTTTAATCAATCCTGGGGGTGGCTGGTACCCTGATGATGCTTCCCAAGCTACTCACTAATTACCATCAATTCTTGGAATATATTTATTATTTATTAATAATATATTTATTATTTATTCAGGACTAGTTTAATATTGTATTTTTAATTGATTTTATCTTCTCTGTAAACTGCCTAGAGTTGTTGTTTTTTAACAAGATGGGTGATGACAAATTTGATAAAATAAATAAATATATAAATATTCACTTCAACTCAGAGGGATATCCTTTGTTCTTACCATGGATTACAAAGGTGCTAATAAAGTAAATGTGACAGACTTCCTGCAGGACAGAATTCATCGCTGATGCAAACACTCTCCACTTGGATTGCCTTGAAAGTTATCTAACTGGCTTCCCACAAAATAGTATGGCTTATTTCTGAAGCTATTCCAATTTTCTTTGGAAATAATTCTTCTCCTGTCCCACCTATTCAACCAGCAATGTCTGTGGGGAACGGGGGCCAAAAAAGTAAAGATGTAGTTGCAGCAATGCAATCAAAGCCCCATGTGTGCAAAACATATGCATGTACAAGAACAGTTTTCAATCACATTGCTGCAACCACAATCTTGACTTCTTTGTTACCCTCACTACCATCCTCGGATGCTATTGTATGCAAGCTTCAAAGTCAGTCAACCAAGTCTCTTCTTTTGTACATACTGCTTCAATCACACTTCCTTGACTAAGGTGAATTGTTCCCAGAAACTCCTTGTTACCAGGTATCAGAAAGAGTAACAGCCTATTACGTTACACTGAAGGAAAGGCTTCTAAAACTGAGACAGGATAAAAACTAAGCAAGCTTGTTGGTAGATTAGGAGAGGTTTCTAAATGTAGGACTATTAGAGTTGGGCTGCAAAATTCTGGGGTACCTTAGTTAGAGTTTTCTGAATCTCTTTGGTTCATTTGGATTTTGTAGCCCAACTGAATGAATACAAGTGAATGAAGGAAACCTATTACTCCACTCAACATTAACATCTGATCAAGTTGATAAGCAGGTGATGTTTGCTTTAAGTGTTGAGACAAGCACTATGAACTTCTGAAACTTGTAGTCAGAAATATAAGTCGCAGCAAGGTATTAACTTGTTTTGGGTAAGGTTAATGGGATGCTTCCACAATATGAACAAGTAATCAAATGGGTGGTTTAATAATAATTAAATAGTAGCCCATTTAATTATTTGCTAATACTGTGGAAACATCCCATTTTCTAACCTTAGGAAAAAAAGGAATACTAATAGTAATGGTGTTTCTCGATGGTGTACACAATAATCTTTTTTGTATTATGACTTTCACATTTTTAATATTTTGATTGGTTTAATTATGATGCTTAAGAACTGCACTGTTAGTCATTGAAGTGGTACACAGAGATAATATTATTTCCCATTTCCCAAGGGGCTACTTGTTCTCTGATGCTTATGAAACATTTTTCCTATAGGTTTATGAAATACTGAAAAGAACTACATGCACCAAAGCCAAGTATAGCATGGGTAAGAACATTTATTTACATTTCAGATTAGCATATATTCTAGATTCCAGAATGTTTTAGTGTATACTTCAAGAGATCATGAGTTTTCACACCTTTCCCTAATAAGCTGAGTGCAGTATAGGTGACCTGCTTAAAGACATTTGTGAAATGATTTTTAGATCATAGCATATATGCAGGTTTTTGATAAATAAAACAATACCTTACAGATATATACCCTGCTTACACATTTCTGTTTGTATACATTTTATTTATAAGTACCATTGTCCAAGACTGTTGGATATGGTACTGTCTTACAGATACATGTACAATACCCTTGCATGTTTACTTAGAAGCAAATATTATTTGAGCTGCAAACATCCAGATGACCACCAGATGGTAGCAAAGATGTATTTACTACAACCTAGTGACCCTTTGGATTTTTGCAACCCAGATCTGGTAGCTGTAATTTAGTTCCAGTGTGTAACTTTTCTTTTTAAATTTCACTATTATATTATTTTCATTTACTCTAATTAAACAAGCTGTTTATCAGTAAAGGATTAAATGAAAATATGGGAAACTGAATTAATGCTATTGCCAATACATATATTGGCAGAAAAACAGTGATTCACTGTCCTTCAAAATGAAAGGCAAATTAAGTTGATTGTATCAATCTCTCATTTAAAGTATACCATATCATCAACATATCTTGCTACTCTTGTGTATATGGATATAAATGGACTTTGATCCTTAAAAGTTACTTTGGGACAGTTTATATCATAAAAAGAAGAAATACAGTAAAAATTTCTTTTAAACTATGGGCATAGTGAATCAGCAAAGATGAAACTTTGATAATACACATGCTGAATTTTAAGCATATATTTACATCTCATCTAAGAACATAGTGTCATCTCTATTCCTTGCATTCTAAAGAGTTAATTAATTATGTGGCTCCACTAAACAATGTTTTTAATTAAATATATTGCTGTGAGAAAGAAGGCCACGCAGACTCAAAGCAGAAGGTGCTTCAGAGCTTGTGGAACCTGTCTGTAGCTCCTTAAAGCAGATGCAACTTTTCCTGGGACTGCATGGCTGCCCTCTTCAGCTGTAGCATGATCCCAGTAAAAGCCATATTTGGTTCAAAGAGTTGTAGAACAGTGCTACATATGTACTCATGCATGCAGAAATGCATTTTTCCCTTCAAATCCAAAGCTTTTCATAACCATAATTCTCACAACTGTAAGTTTTTAAAATAAGATCACTATGGCTGTATCCTTTGCCCTCACATCTGAAGCACTACCCAGCCCTAGTGCAAACCATTGTTTACATTTGCTGACATTGGAATCTGACTTTCTGTGTGTGCAGCAGCTTTTCTTCCATAGTAAGTTGCTGAGAAGGCTTTGGCAGGAAATACCTAGAGGCATGTCTCTGCATAAATGCATATGACACTAGGTATGTTGTTAATGGAAGCTATAGAGTTGGATTTTGTGGTGGTCTATTGCAGTAAAAGCTGTAAAGTTCTTAATGTGTTGAAGGCAAGGGCTGTGCAGCGATCTAGATTCAAAGGTCCCAATGTGTGTACCTGTTGAGGGCATTTTAAGCCAAACACAGTTTTTCTGCTATGCAATTAGAGAAAAGGACATCATTTCTGTATTTTCTGACAGGTGCTCTGTGTGCCTGCATGTGCTCCAAATCACATGTTATACAGTACATATCACATAGGATTGCTGCAGACATGTGTTGCATGTCTAGGACACCATTTCTCAGCCTGGTACTCTCCAGATTTCTTGGATTATACTCAAATACCATACTGACCAGGAATTATGGGAATCATAATTCTGATTGATGGTCTATAGTAGATCGCTTTCTAAAATCATTGCAGTCATTTACTGAGCCTGTTGGGTATGGGAATCAGCCCATGCCTTGAACTTGAGTGGTATCTTTGAAAAAGGACATTTCTCTGTAGCTGAAAAATCAAGGTCCAGGAGTTCATGTCTTCTTAGCATAGATCTGTTTCATAGCATTTACCAAGCAGCTTTCCGTTATGATCATAAGCTAACCTAATAGGCATGGTTACATTAACAAAGGAAATGGTGTGATGAATTATTTATTCCTTCCATCAGAAATGGATGTAGGAAAAACACTGGTGCACATTCCATAATTAAAAAAAAAACATTTAGATGTAAATGGATGTTACATCTCCTGAAATGTATTTATATCAAAAATATTAATGCTTGCAGTCTGTTAATATAAATAGTAATATAAATTATTGTAGTTTGGATAGAATAGATGAGATTTTATTTTGAATGCACCAAAATACTGACAAAATGTATAGATGTGAAATGAGGTCTCTAGAACTCATTATGTCAAAACTGATCCAAGACACCTCAAGGATTCTGTCTTCAGATAATTAGCATTTCACCCTCAAATGAATGGACTAGCAGCTTCAGCGTGGGAGGAGGAAGATTATTCTGTACACTTGGCCAATCTGTAGTCAAAATGTAGGTTTATATTTTCAAGCTTTTAATGCTCAACAAAATAATTTAGTTATAGCCTGTGTGAGCTTCAGGTAGAGTTATTACGTTCATGATGTTTAACAAATGAGCAGGGTTGGCATTTTTTTTTTCTTACAACAAGATCCAGGCTTCTGATAAATACCCCATTTAATAGTGAAGCACCAGTCTTTGTCATTTTAGAGATCCAATTTTTTATTTGCCACCTAGAGCCACAAACAGAAGAATATACTAGTACAGTTGAGAAAATAAAACTGATAATAGTTTGTCTTATGGCCAGGTAGTTTTTTATGCTTTTGCTATTTTAAATATTATAAATATATATATTGGCAGATGATTTGGGGAGAGAGTGGTTCTCTCCACTCCTTAGTGGTTGCTGTTTAACCTTGATAATAGGCTAGTTTGTGCATGCATAAATGCTTCTTTTTTATATTCCATAAATAATTTCAAGTGTAAGTTGCATTGATCATTTCAATTTTTTTAAAACAAAAGCAAAGCTTTGGTCTTCCAAGTAAACTTTTCCAGAATATCCCAATTGTCTGACAGATTATTATCAGGAGATAACCTACCATTGCACATAAATGTCTAATAGAACATTCCGCAGCAATAATGAATGGGAAAGTAGCACAAAATGCAACTGGAAATATATGCTGCATTCAGAAGAAATAATATTAGTGAACTCACTCTTAAGAAAAAATAGATGGTGGGTTATCAGGAAACTGAAAACATTTTCCCAATATAGAATCTACCACACAATGGTATACCCTCTTATATCCCTGCCCAGTGCTTTGTTATCATGTTGATATAGTCACTGCTTGTTTTATTCTTTTTCACGTCGGTTTTAGGGGTTAGATTAAAGTTAGATTAAAGCTAGCATTTGAGATAGCAACCCAAGCATGTATTATTAGGTAACATAATCCCTTCAAAGTTTGTCAGGATTCCCATATTATAAAGCTGCTATATTAATGCTAGCTACTGTAATGAAAAAACACATCTAGGAATAAAATGTAGCTTTCAAGAGTTTATAGAAAGCTGGAATATGATAAGCGATGTCTAAGCACATTCTTCATTCACTGCAAAATCTCAGCATCTCCCAGTGTGTCTAATCTTATTTAATCCCAAAACCAAAGATGATTCCTCTGAAGGAATAATATACATTTCTCAGAGTCTCCCATCGCACAAGCATTGTAACTGCTCAATCATATAACTAATAGACAAATGTGTAAACAGGGAAAGGAGAGGGAAGAAAGAAGGACACTACCCTTTTAAATAAAAGACGAAAATGTGATAAATATGGTAAGTATGATGCCAAGGTCTTTCCAAAGGCTTTCCAAATAGCTTCTCTAATCAAGCTTATATCTGATTTTAAAACTCTCTGTGTGAATGTGTGCGTATGGTTTGCATGAGGATGTGCGTGGGGATGTATCCTGTCCCCAGTGTTCAATCCAAGCTGAACTTCTCTTTCTTACAATCTCGCCTTTTGCTACCCTTCCAAATCTGTGGGCTTGCTTTTCAAATCCAATTTAAAGATTCCAGGTACGTACGTTATTATATGACTAATTCCAAGTCATTGGCTTCCTCTCTTGATTCTGAAATACATGATTTCTGATTCTCCATAGTTTTCCATTTCTTGATATCAATCCACTTTATAGTCCATACAGTTAAAAGATATGGAGTCAAATGAGATGGGCTGAGATTCATTGTCTAACAAAATTACTAAAGTTTTGAGGGGGAAATCTCCACAACTGGAAAGTGGGTTTACTTGAGGGAATTCAAATGTGGGAACATAAATAGGTATTTCTTCTTGTTTTTCCAGGGATCACCAGTCTACTTGCCAATGGCGTTTACAGTGCTGCATATCCCTTGCATGATGTAAGTAGTCTTGGAATATATTTTGTGTTTCTAGAAGCCGATACCAAGAATCCCTAACGCATTAGGTACGAATGACACTATTCTAAACATCTTCAGTATTTCATGAGCCTCGTAGACTGTACATTTAGATTAAAAATTAGCAGTTTGTTCAAGAATCTGCCAACTTGTTATAGGTGTTAGCTCCAAACTGAACTTCCTTTACTTTTATATGAAATAGAATTATAAAATTGATTTGGCAAATACCTGCAAAGTTGATCTGCTGTCAAGAACTCTGGAACTGTTAGATATAAATATATATCTACTTACCTGTTTTCCTGATTTAAGTATGTTTGATATCTTTGTATGCTTATAAAGTTTTGGATGGTGACGACTAGATAGGAAGATATATTAACTATTCAAATTGTTTTGTGTTCTGGCTACATATTAACTGATCCTTGTATTTTTGCATGAATGGCTACCTTTTTGTGATTTTTATTAATATCAAATATTACAAAGGTGCAGGTAATTCTCAAACCTGGCAGATTCTTAGTAATTACTAATGTACATTTGTATGATGGATGCTTACGATCATAATATTAAAACTACTACAGCAACAGGCGTATATGTTTCGTATAAAAGTGACCAATTTAATCAATGTTATGCTTGAAAAATCACTGTTAACACAAACATTAAAAAAAATAACTGGGGCTGCTTTCTCATGATCTCAGGGCTGTATCTAGTCAGCCAGAAGTTCAAGAATGAAACCCTCTGAACAGAATGTATTTTTCACTGCTTTTGGATCATTATTAGCTTTTTGTGGGGAACCTGTAGCTTAAATTCCACACCACTAGTCACAAATAGAATGTATTCCAGCTATGGGTATTCCTTGTTGGATAACATCATTTTTCTTTTTTTAAAGGGTGATTACGAAGGTGAACATGTTGAGCCTAATGACAGAAAAGTAAGTTGATATAGGGGAACATCTGTTGTGATGTGGACAGTTGCCAATATTTTACAGAAAGGAAGAGATGTTTAGAAGTTCTCTTTTAAAATCTTGTATTTACTGTAGCAGGACATCCTCTGTAGATGCCCGCAGACACTATTTATTAAAGAATTTACAATCCCAGACCAAAAAGAAAAAAGAACAATTAAAATGTGGTATATCTCAGATAAAAGCTTATTCACAGCAAAATCTAAGTATGCCTCTGTTATGTTCAGATCCAACAGTTTCTGACTGCCATTGCTATGGCACAGAATTTGGTCGTTTTCTTAGAGACTTCACAGTGCTGGGTGTTTAATAGGAATCACATAGTTGCCTGTTAGGACTGGTTTGATAATTTGAGAGGAGAGGAAAGATTAGCACCATCCTCCAAGGGTGATAGAAATGGCATTTCAAAAGTACGTATGCAACTGTCTCAATTTCAGTCATAAGCATTTTGGTTAGGAGTATTATTGTATCTCCCGGTCAGTACCATTGAAGGCAGACCATTTAAGTATGCCAGTCCGAGTACCCTCCTGTGTAAGGGCACAAGTATATCTAAAAGTATTTGGGGTAGAAAGCGGATATGTGAGCTCATTGTAGTAGAGGTGTGAGGTCCGTTCCTTTGTACAAGGTTGAAAATTCTCTGGTAGATCTTACTCCAGGCTTTGTCTAAGCTCAGCCTAGATAAGGATTGTGGAGGTAAACCCACAATAGACTACATTGGATGTTATTTGCTTCTTCCATGGGGAATTGTATTGGTCTGTTAGTACAAGATGAACTAGGGACTTGTCCCATAGAATTGTTTAAGCCAGTACTTTAACTGGAAGAGCCTTAAGCAGAACTTAATAGAAACATATCCAAAATCTAAAGAAGTGCATTTGCAACAGAAGAAGGAACTCAGAGCAGAGACCTCAAGAATTTGGACTAAACTGCTTCTGGCACAACACTGTTTATTAGCACAACACCATGTGCTATACAGCAGAAGACTTAGAATTTTAGCTTTAAAAAGTTTAAGTACTGCAAGCACATAGTTGTTTCCCTTAGAGCTTTAATAAACCAGGCTGGAGACTGGTATATTAAACAAAAGTCAAGTATCTTAAGGCCACTTATCCTGTAATGGTAATTAACGACAGTGTCATCCTTACCATTAAACAGAAATAGTGGTCCCTCATACAATTGATTCTCTGTGTTATGAGAACTAGCAAATTGCTTATTACATTTTTATTACTATTTTTTTTTAGTGCTGCTCTAAACTTTCTCTTTTTTGCTGCCATTTTTACTCATACTTATGAAAAAGAAATGGATTTTGTTTTTGCTTTGTTTTCCAAAGAAAAAGAACATTTTGGTGAAATCCTGATAAATAAAGTATAGGGCTCTGGCACTTGCTTTACTTCTGTATGAGTAAATGGTGCAAATGAGTGTCTGTTTTCCACTATATAATTATCTCTACAGCAGTCTGCTACCTGGAGTTCAATTAAATTCCAAGGAAAGGCAGGTACCCAGGGAAATTGCAGGATGGTGGAGAGATTCATAAGAGGAAAACAACACCATTAACATCTGCCATCTCATGACAACAAAATAAGCTCAAATTCTAAAGCACTCTGAGGAGAAGGTAGAAATCTGGATCTAGTAGAAAGCTCTGGGGAAACTGGAAATCATATTTCAATATATCTTTTTTTATCCTGAAGGAGAAATGGTTCTGGATTAAAAAAAAAAAAAACCTTGGCCACTCTTACTATTACAAAACTTCATTGGGGAGGGAATCATTTCCTATTCCATCTCAGTCCAGTCTAGAGTGGTTTTGACTTAATTATGAACATGTTTCTATATTACTGGTCTCGTTGTTAGCAATTGCATCATCAAATGGAGGAATGATGCAGACCTGGATCATTTAATGCAACAGCTTCATTTACACATGTTGCAAGTGACATCAGAACATGTACAGCTCCATTAGGTACCAGATTCCATATAATCACATCAGAGGATACCAATCACCATTTAGGCTCCTGAGCTCTAGTCATTTCCCCCCACGCCAAAAAATTTATCACATTCTTTTCTTATTCTTGTTTTCCCTTAATATATACATCATCCAGGGATTTTCCATATTTCAACTGTTAATTCTATGCTACACCATTTTCCATATTATAGAAAATGGAACCATCAGTTCGGCTGACATGAAAATATGCTGTGAATGAAAGTAGAGTTGCTGGTGGATAAATAGTCTAACATGCATATCACTATCAGTACAAATTTTTAAATGGAACCAGTTCTAAAAATAAAAGGATGTTTTTCTTAATGTACATAAAGTTGTTGAATCTAGAGTTAAGTGTACTGGCTCCAGTTCAGAATCCAGAAGATATTTGGTGGGCATATAAAGTTCTGATAATATACAGCAAACATTCTAGTATTCCTCCTCTGAGGAAGGATTGGAGGTGGGTATCCATTTTGTCAAAGGCCAGGACCATCCTACCACCTCCTCACTTGCTTTAAAAGAGGTGTCTCTCCTAATGTAAAATCAAGTCTTTCTGTAGTCTCTGAAAAATTGTAGCATTATCTCAAGTTGTTTTACTGGATGTATTTAGTCATGAATAGTTACATAATGTCAGAAACGTTCTAAATCTGTGGCCTTGTTTTCTTCTTTTTTTTCTGACTTTGCACTGAGGAAAAGCAGAGAAAGTAAATAGTAAAATAATGCCTTGATCTAATCCAATCTCAATTCAGCTAATAAATTAAATAATTACTGCTTATAGTAGTAATAGTAATAATAATAATAATAATAATAATAATAATAATAATAATAATAATAATAGTAGTAGTATTTCCATGCATATTCTGGCTTTCCCTTTCTAATGCATATGAAATAGCTAACAAATAATTTCATGGATACCCACCTCCAATCCTTCCTCAGAGATGAACTAGAATGTCTCCTGTATATTGTCAGAACTTTATATGCTCACCAAATAATGCCTACGAAATAGCTAACAAATAATAGTTATTAAAAATAGCTAAGTGTAGAACATTATACAGAAAAATGCTAATAAATCATCAGAGAGTCTTATAATTAAGTTGAAGTTTAGTGCATTCTCCATTGTTTAAATTCTCATGCATGGGGACTTTGATTTTTAAAAAATGTGTTAAAGTAAAATCAGAAGCCTATATTGATGTTCTCAATGCACACTACAACTTTCAGTAAATAAACATCTATTAGGTCTAATATAGAATTCTCATTAATTGCTGGGGAATTGCAAGTAAAATGTGCTCCAGTAGTTCATTGTTTATTTTCACATGAATGAAGGAAGTCACAAAATAAATCATGGTCTCATTCAGTATGATTTTTCATACTTACATAGGTAAGGACCCTTGCATTATATTTTCAAAATGCAATCCAATTTGTCTACATGGGTCAGATTTTCCCCCTGCTCTTTCTCTTTTCCAGCTCTCAGCCCTCTGTCTATGCTGTGGAGAGCCCTCCCCCCCCCCAACTTTTTAGTTAAGATTTTAGGAGCACATGGAGGCTGCAGAGATAAGGGAGAATGTTATTCTTATTTTTCTATTTTTTATCCTGCCTTTATAATTGTTATAAATAACTCAAGGCGGTGCATACCTAATACTTCTTCCTCCTCCTATTTTCCCCACAACAACCCTGTGAGGTGAGTTGGGCTGAGAGAGAGAGACAGGCCCAAAGTCACCCGGCTGGCTTTCAAGGTCTGCCTGTTGGGAGGCAGCTATCACTGGATCTCATTGGTATTGCACCTGCCCAAATAAAATAAGATTTGGAACAGGAGCTCTCCTTAGCACTCCAAGGGTGAGAGAGGTGCATTGCGAGGAGATGGGAGATAGGACCTTCTCTGCTGTGGCCCCACAGCTTGCCCTGCAGACCAAACTAGTACCAGCATTGTTTGCTTTTTAGCTTCAGGAGGCAACCTGGCTTTTCCCCCTGCAGGACTTAACAACCACATCCTGGCCACGTCCTGCTTTTCTTCATGAAAATTTATGACTTGCTGCTATTGCATTATAGTAATTGTTATTTTAAGCTTTTAAAGTAAATTTTCTTTTGATTTAATGTAATGTAATTTGTGGGTTATAACCCTCCCCGATATCCTTAGGATAGAGTGGGCCATAAATACTAGAAGAAAAGAAAAAAGTTATAAACCAGAAAGTCAAATAAAGGTCTAAATGCAGGAAATGTTCCATGTTTGAAAATCCAGGAAATACTTTCCTTGAAATTTAGAAAAATTATTTCAGAAGGTAAATTTCAGTATGATGTTTGTCAAGCTTCATCTTAGTAGTATGCTTGTCAAGTTTAATAACTTAGTGTCTGATTGGCTTTGATAAATCTTGCAATAATAGTAACTCCAGAAACTCACCTCCTCACAACATGAAAATCTGTTTCTGCATCTTAATAGAAATTCATCCCATATCTAACTGACCTCCAATATAGGGTACATTAATTTAGATTTTGGTTTTGTGTGTGTGTGTGTGTGTGCGCCTTCAAATCAGTGCTGACTCCTGGCAACTGCCTGGACTAGTCCCTGCAGTTTTCTTGGCAATATTTTCAGAAGTGGTTTGCCATTGTCTGCTTCCTAGGGCTGGGAGACAAAGTGACTGGCCAAGGTCACCTGCTGGCTTTGTGCCCAAGGCGAGGCTAGAACTCACAGTCTCCCAGTTTCTAGCCTGGTGCTTTAACCACTACACCAAACTGGCTCTCATATTAGTTTAGTAACTACATATATTCTGGCTCATACAGATTCATGAATAACAGAATGAACACATCCTCCAAATCTATTAAGAGCTTTTTCAGTATTTTCATTGCTACCAATCACAGCTTCAGGACCTCAGTTGCATCTCACTACCCTGTGCTTATTAGTCTGAATGAATATGAGAACATGACAGTGAGCCAATCCACAGGAACATTCAGTATTTAATGCAAGCTGTATGTATCGTTGGAACATAAAAAACTAAAATATAATGACACCAAATGACATTATGAATTATGCAGTAGAATTGAGAGAAGAAATTTCTGGCTTCCAAGTTTTCATTTTCTGTTTAAATTGCTTTTATAGCTCCTGTGTGAAGAATGGGCAAGTTATGGAGTATTTTATAAATATCAACCAATTGACTTAGTAAGGTAAGAAACAATGACAACTCCTTATTTGTCCCTTACTTTAAGTGTTTATTTGTATATGGGCATTAATAATAGCAGGCTACAGCTGTTGGGGAAATCTTTCATAAAGCTAGCCATCAGATTATGAAAAGCGGCCTTTGAAAAACAAATCCAAAGGAATAAAATACACTTAAGGTTTAGGATAAAAATCCATATTGCATAGGCCATACTATAGCTCTCTGGATTTTCCCAGATTTACAACAAGCAGTGATCTTAAACTGTTTGAACAGTGTGGTTTAGCTTTTTTGCTTTTTCAACAAATATACTAATATGCTAAAATACATCGATCTTAGTTGGAAACAAAATCAGGTAAAAAATAATTTAAAATGGATGTTATAATCCAATTCCAGAGGTTCTCATGTTTCCAGATCAATATGTGTCTAAATCTTTTTTCACCCATTTTTTGCTAATGGTGCGTTTCCCTTACATACCTTGCTGCTAAATGATATTGTTTCCTTACTTTGGACCTCCACCTCTGATACTTTAATTCACGTAGGAAATATTTAGGGTCACATTCCCAAACTGTGTGCTGCAGCACCCCAGGATGCCACAGCAAATGCACAGAGGCACTGGGGGATATTTTAAATTTGGACCTAACTACTTAATAAACAGAACTGTTAGGTATTTCTTTTGGTCTAGAGGTGCCATTAAAAAGTTACCAAAACACTGAAGGGTGCCGTGAACTGAGGATGCTTGGGAACCTCTGCCTTAGGGGGTTGTTTTATTTTGAATCAAACCATTGGTCCATCTAGAACAGTGTTTCTCAAACCTGGCAACTTTAAGATGTGTGGACTTCATACTGGTTGGGGATTCTGAGAGTTGAAGTCCACACATCTTAAAGTTGTAAAGTATGAGAAATGCTGATCTAGAACATTGTGGTCTATACCAGCTCTCCTGATTTAAATGGTCTCTAAATGTATTGGGTCTTCTGCTCACAGAATTCCAAACTAGTTTTCCCAACACAACTGGAGGGCACCAAGTTCAGGAAGTCTGGCATATACTGAACAATAGCAGGTCTCTAAGGTTGCAGATGGCTCTTTCCCAGTTCTACCCAGAGATTCAATATTTAATTTTTTGTCTACAAACCATTTGCTCTACTAATGAAGATCATCTGGAAGTTACAGCTGATCCAGATTGCAGCAGCTCAGGTAGTAATGGATACACCGAACTACACCCAAGTAACACCACAGCTTTGCAAGTAGGCTTCCAGGTACAATTCAAGATGATGGCTACCACCTATAAAACCCTTCATGGTACAAGCCCAGAAAGGCTGTTTATGGGATCACATATCTCCAATAATTCCTTCCTGTCCCAAGGTTCATAGGGTGGGTATCCTCCAGGTCCCCTCTATGAAACAATGCCATATACAGTATAGCTATAGAAGCAGAAAGGTAAAGCTACTTAATAATCAAGAACGAAGTACTTACTTGGTGTCTTTGTCCTGGATCTGTTCCAAGTAGCATGTGGACATGAATTCTCCAAGGGGAAATGCATTTCAGCTAATCAACAGGATTTATTTTCTCATTCAAAGTCAGCCCTGCTGTGTAATTCATAAATTTAGCCTTGATACATTTGCCATTATACATTATACAGTGTTCTCCCCTTTAATTTATTTCAGGAAGTACTTTGGTGAAAAGATTGGACTATACTTTGCCTGGCTAGGAGTTTATACACAAATGCTCATTCCAGCTTCCATTGTGGGAATTATCGTGTTCCTTTATGGTTGTGCAACTGTTGATGAGAATATACCAAGGTAAAACATACATGCATAAGTCTCTGTGCTTTGTACAAAGCCATCATTTTCACTTATGTTCAGTATGCTCAAAATTATCCTAAATGGTTTCGACTAAAGCTAATCCTTTAGGTTTCAGAGTCATCCTTTAGGTTTTGCAGCCACACTCTTATGTATCACATATTGCAACATTTATTTCTGAATTCAGGATCTTATGTTACTGCATCCATGAGTTTTGCTTATGAATAATGAGAAGTTAGATGTCAACATTTTCCCAGGATTCAGTTTTCTTGGTCACAGGGGTTTGATGGAGTTTCTGTGATGTAAGACTGATTAATGCAAATAGACACAATGAAAAAAAGTGAATGGTTCATAATGTTAATACTCCAATAAATTTCCATTTCTCCATAGAATGGCTAGAGGAGAGCAAGTGCCTCCTTTTAGTTGTATGAAAACAGGGACATCTCCACTGTACGTTAGCTGTTTTAGAACTAGCCAATCTTTGCCATAGTGGACTTGTTGTACGCACATAGTCACCCTTTCATTTATGAGATTTTCGTCTGTACAAACAGAACATAGTCTGCTCTTTTCATTCATAATTTAATGTGTGCCTTTAAGACACTTAGATGGCATCTATGGACTCCAAAATGATAAACAATAAAAAAGTGACTCACATTTCAGCCATTTCTCTTTTCAAAAATTATTTGCATGATTATTTAATACAGTAAACCTGAGATATGTCATATGAAGATAAGATATCCATTGCTGTTGCATAAGGAAGCACAAGCAACCAGATTGGCTACAGTGGAATGTGGATATCTAGAAACCGAGGGTGAATTGCTCTTCATCCCCAACCCATTTGACTGCGAAGTAGCTTTTATGGGAAGAGACAGTAACTCAAGGGCAGAGCACATGCCTTGCACACAGAACAGAATTTATGGCAACTCCAGATAGGATGGGAAAAAATCTTGCTTGAAATCTTGAAGAGCCATAGACAGTCAATGCCTACAGTACTAGGCTAGATGGAGCAGTCATCTGATTCAACATGCAGCAGCTTCCAATATGATGGAATTGCATGTGTTGAGTAACTTTCACTCCATGCTTTTTGGTGTTTAAGCATACCTGGATTTTGCCTGGAATCTTTTCCGCATGTATAAAGAATACCTTTCAAGGGGTTTGAAATATGCTTGCCATATGATCATCACTGCTCAATGAGTGAATGTGTTTCTTCTTACATGTGCTTTTCACATATAGTATGAATTTAGCAACACATGAAGTAATATTACACCAGAGTATTCACAGATAAATGTGTATATTGTGCCCCAATTTTTGTAAGTAGTTAAGAAAAGCTGTGACTTAAAATAAATAGACAAATGTTACTTAAACATGCTTATATACAGCTTTCAGCAAATATTATAAATATTAAGATAGGTTGACATTTATTTTCTACAGCCATAATTAATCCGATATATAGTGAAATTCTCCCCCATACTACCACATACACACAAAAGGCCGCAGTACTATACCTGATTAACTGAGTAAATCCAACGAAATCTGTAGAATTTATTTTTAAGTAGACTGCACAGGGTTACATTACATCACCTGATAAAGTGATCTCTTTGGTTCCATTTAATGAGTAATTATGTGTAATTTCAAGCACCTTCATCTTAAAAGTGTGCATATTCTGACACCAACAGATGTGGTTTAAGGAAAAAGGTATAATTTACTTGCTTTTTACCTCTTTAGAGTCTTTGTTCCCTGTGGCTGCTTTTAAACATTTTTAATGTTTTTCACTACAAATATGTAAATTATAGGAAATAGAAGAAAACTAGAAAAGTATATTAGTTGTGTCATATCAATGACACAAAGATTTATGAAACAGATCAGGTTTTGCTCAATATCTGTATTGAGTTATTTGAAAGAATTTCTGCAGAATCAAAATGAAACATTAAAGTATAACTTGCAATGGTTATAAGCTATAGAACTTAGGCTGAGATATTGGAATAACAGACTTTCCTACTTTTTAATCTATCCATTAGTTCTGTTTCCGAACTATTCCAGATATTAGCCAGAATGAAGCAAGAAGACATTGTAACAGAATTTTGCACTGTCTCTAATTCAATAGTATAAATGGTTCCTCTGTAAAAACATACTGAATGTAGTAGTTTACCATATGAGGAAGAGAGCTATATTAAAGTTTGCAGTCTATAAGTGTTACAGTTCAGAATTCTACCACCCAACTCATTCTCCATTGCATTTTTTATTGTATTGTACCAATAGAGGTGAATATGTGTAGCTCAGGGTTGAACTGTGGACTCCAAGACAGTTCAGGGTTGAACTGTATGTTTGCAAGAAAAGAACCAAGCTCAAAGAAACCCAAGGACTCCACAGTTATTGTATTGTATTGTACTGTGTTTGTTGGTGCCTTTGAATCAGCCTTGACTCCTGGTGACTGCCTGGACTAGATCCTGCAGTGTTCTTGGCAACATGTTCAGAAGTGGTTTGCCATTGCCTTCTTCCTCAGGCTGAGAAAGAGTGACTGGCCCAAAGTCAGCTGGCTTTTTGCCTAAGGCAGGGCTCAAACTTAGAATCTCCTGGTTTCTAGCCTGGTGCCTTAAAGCACCACACCAAACCAGCACTCTTACTGCTAATTAGGCATTATAATTCAAAAAGTATGTTAACAAGTTGGAAATGGTCAAGAAACTCTGTGATAAAAGTGTAGGAGAAAGCTCTAGGCAGAAAGGCTTAAGAAATTGATTGTGTTTAACCTAGATAAAAAGTGAAGTGCTTACATTCCAGAATTACTTAAAAAGATGTGGAGAAAAAAGGGAATTTTTTAATCTTTTCAACTAAGCAGAATGCATGGATACGTTATTTTAAATTATTTAATTTTACTGACTCTTACAATCTAAACTTACCCCAAGAAGTTCAGAACAATATAGGTGGAGAAGTTCTGGGGTATTCTGCTGTTACACCTTTTGAATTTTTTGAAGCCCCTTGTAAAGAATTACCTTAAAATAGGGATGGCAGCCTGTGGTCATTGAGCCCATTCTTTGCAGCCTCTAGAGACTCCTGTGAGTAGGTATAATTTCTCATCATTATGAGACAAGAAACACATGGAAATGTGGCATCTGTCATCCAATGAGTTTAACATAAGTTTAAAAAATCCCTTTGGTTCCTCCCAAGCCTAACTGAAGTACACAGCCATAAAAATGTCCTAAAATAATAATATATTAACTAATAATCAGATAAATTGGAGGAAGTAATTTGCCCAGTCCTGTCCAGATTATGTGATCAGCTAAGATTTCAGTCCGAGGCCAGTATTCAACATCACAAGAAGTTATATTCATTAAAGTAGAATTACACAACTCTGAAATATGTTTAATTAAAGATTCCCTTTGAGACAAGCTTGACTCCTGATGATTAATAGACATGTACCATCCTGTATTAACCAGGTTGGACCCTGCTAAGTTTTTTTTAATGTTAATCATGATCAGATGGGTACTACCATCTGATAAGGAAAATGGTATATAAATTCATTAAATAAATAAAATGTTATAACTGGAAGTGTTTTCATGGTGAAAGCATCACTGAATTGATGGATTGGATAAACAAAGGCAGTAGACCTACCATCCAGGTTTGTCTGGATGCGTGACAGTTTCTATTTATGATTTATTCACATTACTTGAAACTTGTTACAAACCATCTGAGGTTTAGTTTGGTGATGACACATATAGTGTGCATGGCCCAATCCTTCTTACTTCAGACAGTATACCTTGTTCAGACATGATACTCAAAAAGGGAGGAATTCTGGTTGAAAACTAATACCAGTTAGCATTAGCCATGAATAATACAAATGTAGCAATAGTTTATGCTGGAAAGGAAAGAGAAAAGAAAGATCAAGGAGAATCCAGGAATGCATGATTCTGCAGCCTGCTTCAAATCACTCTGTCATGTTTTAAAAATGGGCAGTGATCCTTTTATACAGTATTAGGCCAGTATACAGTATTTCTGTGATTAGAGGACTGGATTATGTTTCAGAAGATCTGAGTAGACAGTCTTAGTGTGCTGCTCTACTGCAGTCTCCTGGAATAATGTTGCATAAAACACTTAAACCAAGTGATTGTACCATTACAAAAATACTCAGAAGGGCAACAGTGTTAAGTGTAGCAGTATGTACCAGAGTAATGAGCCCAAATGTTTAATTTGCTTTTTCTGGTTATGAGGAATCCATGATGCCACTTGGCTCCTGTCCTTTTGAATTTAACTTAACATTTATAATATGTGTGTCATACAGCGGACACTGTAATACAAATCATCTGAAATGGGGGAAAAAAGCATTAAGATTCGATGAATATGCTTGGCATCAAGTCATATTCAGTGCATGAATATCACAGATGAATATCAGCAGAATGCAAAATGGAAGATGTCTTCACCTTTCATTTACTGCTTGCTTCCCCTTAGCATGGAGATGTGTGACCAGAGAAACAATATCACCATGTGCCCCTTATGTGACAAAACATGTAGCTATTGGAAATTGAGTTCTGCTTGTGCCACTGCTCGGGCCAGCCATCTCTTTGATAATCCAGCCACTGTCTTCTTCTCAGTCTTCATGGCTCTCTGGGGTAAGAATGTTTATATAACTTTGAAGTATGCTTGAGGTTTTCATTTAACTTGGAGTTTAATTTTCCTTACATGAAGAACAAGCAGGAGGATATGTCATCCACAGTTAATTATCTGTACTGCCCCTTTTTGGTCCTTCTCTTATAAAACTGTCACATTTACATTTATGATCTGAACTGAAAGTTGAAATTCAGAAAATTACTTGGATAAATACAAAGTGAAGCATTTGGCACAAAACTGCTTAAGGGATTGCATAGCATGCCAACAATATCTATTTGTGGACTTAGCCTCCAAATTAAACCATTGGAAAAGTGATTGAGGGTTGGTAATTTTAGGAAAATGGTCTTGATCTGATCAGAAGACTACAACACTGAATCATGGTTAAACTACTTAAATGTATTAATGTTATCCGTAGGATACAGTTTACAGTATATCACTCAAGGTGTCCTTTTAGTTTTGAGGACATCCCATGTTTGTGAAGAACCTACATAATCTACATATTAAGATGCTTTAGCAACAGAAAGTCATGTATTAAGTGGATTGTGAAAAACAACAGTGAAAAACTAAGTTCTAGCTTAAAAAAATGTTTTATTTATATTTGAATTCGGAACGCCTAAATCCTGGTAAAACATCCTGGTATTGCAGTGGTGGATCCCTGCATATGACTTAGATGTAAGAGATGCTGGGATGTAGATGTTTGCACATAGTAAAGAAATTGGCATATTCCAACTCTGTCAGTGTCTGCTCCATCATGATGGCTGTATATTATTTCCAGTAGCAGATTGTGTGGTTCTGAATACCAGTTGCTAGGGAATAAGAGTGGGAAAGTTCTGCTGTGTTTGTTTTCTGGTTCTGTACTTCTCATACTGATCTGATTGCTTCCCATAGCAATTCTAATAGGCCATCCTACACCATAACATGGAACTCTCCAGTTGTGTGTTGAGACTGAGTATTGGCATGCTGGCAGAGATTTCTGGGAATTGCAATCTCAACATGTGTGGAAGGTGCCTAATTGGAGGAAGTGAAGATAAAACTCTGGAGGACATATTTAAAGCAGTTCATATGCAGGATATTTTCGTAGAACTATTTATGAATTATGGCTTGTATTATATTTGTCCATAATGCTTGAAGACACACTTACTAGCCCTTGTGTATTCTTTGTCTGTACGGTAGCATTTTAGCCTGGTATCATCATGTAAATATATAGAAAGTAGTTAATCCTTGCAAAGAGAGAGAAGACACTTCTAGTTGCTCTCAAGGAAGTAGGTTTCTGAAATTATTCCAAAAGTTGTCCCTGAATTCTAAACTTAATACATTATCCAATTATCAGTTGTAGACAAGTCTCTCATTTGGGGCAAGATAAACCAGAAGGAAGAGATTATCTCCAGATATTCTTGAGGATCCATTTCTGTCTAATTTTCAATTCAGGTTTTGGACTAAAACTTCTTTTTTTTCAACTTTAATTTTTGCTCCCCAAATCCTTTCTCAGATTTTTTTGCAGTGGGGCAATGCAGACTGACTAAAGACAACAAATATAATTCTTAAGGGCCGGAAGAGGGAGACACAACTGATACAATCTGGCAAATGATCAGATACCGGAAGGTAGCATGGGGGCAGCTGAAGTGCACAAACACTTTAAAACATCTATTTTTTCTGACCTTGCTCACCAGCAGCCATACATACACTGAGCCTGGCTAATTATTGGTTGCACTGAATGGTTTCTTGTGATCCTCCCCACCAAATATCTAGTGCAGGAGGAAAACCTTTCTTCATATACTCTCCTGTTCTTCTTATAGTGTGGCAAAGTTCTCTCTTATCCTTTGACACATACTAAGATCATTTTAAAACTGTGGGTGGACCCAACTTATGCTCTTCTGTTGCTGGAAAGGATCAGTCACAGGAAATATTATAAGGAGATTACTGGAAATTATTGCCGTCTCTCTTCTATGAAGGGATGCCTATTCAACATCACCCCTTATTTAATCGTTTCCAAGAGAATGTAGAAGAGAAAGAGAGATTTCTCTTCAGGTTCTTTACCTGATGAGTGTTCCTCATAAATATTCCTCTTTCAGAAAAAGAAACTGTAAGATAATTGCCTACAGCTGTAGGAACCTCAAAATCAAGTGTGACGTACAGGCCCACTTTGCATGAGATTATGCAATACATGTATATAAATCTGTAGGAGGGAAATTGTGCAAGCTTCTGTTTTGCCATATGCAAGAAACCAACATTAATGCATCTCTCTACAATTTTCCTTGCCTCAGGAATTCTGGTATAAAGTTAGGCCAAGGGAGTAAACCATAATTTCAGAAGAAGGAATCCAATGCAAAGAATTTCAGCAGGGTGACTCATACTGGCTCCTGCGTACCTCATGACAGGAATCCATGTCTTCAGATTTTCACTAAACTGGCTGTAAGGATCAGAAATAAAACTAAACTTATGCCTGAAATTGTTGTACAAAGCACCACTCCCAAATATGGCAGATTAAAGCTGGAATTCTAAAAATGAAGCAAGAAATAGTTTTCCATAAAATGCACTGCAGTTTCCACACTGGTGACTCTCACATTTAAAAAAACCTGACGCACATGTCTTTCCTAAGAAAAGCTGCCCAGAGTCCCCCATTGTGGGGAGATGGGCGGGGACAAGTCCACTAAATAAAATAAATAAATAAATAAATAAAAAAGCAACATCACATGTGATGCGCCCTTCCTATGCCGTTCATTGTTTCCTGTTTCATGTATTTACATATATTATTAGTCACGGGTATGACTTGCAAAAGGTTGTTTCTATAACATAGTGTAAGGCTTCACTGCATCCAGATACAATTCAGAAAAAGCCACTGCTGAAGCCTCGGAAAGCCACTACCAGTCATCTTATTGGCAGTACTGATCCGGTCTGAGTCATGCCATTTTCACACTGATGATATATAGTGGCTTATCATGTCACAAAGCCATTGCTGGGGCGATAAAGAGCCTGTCTTCATTACTGATATATTAGCATAGCAATAGCTTGATGATGCTAAAAGACATTGTAAATCTTAGTGTGAAAATGGACTTAATTCTAAATCTGGGAACAAATGTGAACAACTTTTAGTGCATTTTTAATGTTGAAATTACCTTTAGCACAGCCTGTCCCAGCCTGGTACTTTTCATAGTCTTTGGCCTATAATTACCCATCCTTCTTTTGGACACATTATGTGAAGACCTAGCTCTCTGGAAAAGGCTGTAATGCTGGGAAAGGTGGAAAGAAAGAGAAGAGGACAAGAAGCAGCAAGGTGGATGAAATCAGATGAATGCACCATTGAGAGACCTGAAAGAACAGGTTAGAGACAGATCATCATGGAGAAAATCTATCTATGTAGTCGCTAGGAGCCGAAAAAGACTTGATGGCAAATAATAATAATAATAATAATAATAATAATAATAATAATAATAATAATAATAATACCCATTCTTCTAGCCAGTATGCTGGCTGGGAATTCAAAGAGTTGTTGGCTAGCACATGAGAAGAGTATTGGGTTGGAGAAGGCTGTTCTAGGTTGAATAAATTCTGCTACAGGATGAACATCTTTTTTCCTGCTTTTCAACAGTCATGGTTGATTGAACTGATTTATTTTCAGTGTTCCAGAGCCACCTAGAAGAATGTATAGATAATAAAGTAGGTTAGACAACAGAATGTGCAAGAGTTATTCTAACCAATTTTACTTACATCTCTAGTGGAAAATCCTACTATGGTATTTTAAAAATTAAAATAATTGCCTGCTACCTAGAAAACATTTTTTATGATTGATGATATGCATTATGCTGTTTCATATACAGTTCAGGTTTCCATTTGTTCAGTTATATAGGAAATCATTTTTTTCTATTAGAATTTCAGTACAGACAGGCTCAGTGACAGTTCAATAAAAGATTTCCTTTTCCCTAAATCATCACTTTCTATAAGTTGTAAGGCTAATCATATGCATATACTCTATATAGTTGAGAGAATGGTGAATGGATGTATCTGTAAGTGGTTATAGTAATAGCAGATTGAAATGCAGAGTGATGGAGTTTAGATTTAATATCTCTGCTGTAGGGAACAATAGGAAAGCTCAGAAGGAAAAAAGATGAATCTGAAAAAAATAATCTATGCCTCCAATCTAGATGATTTGTTATCATGTACAGAAGTTCGTCACATTATGTGTAGTTGAAAAATATGATAGATAAGGCAGAACAGAATATCATTGGTTTAAATAGTCTCATTCCCCCCACCCCAGACAAATATCTATTCCATTCCTTTTAACTTCCCCACATCTTTTTGTCCTTCACTACTCAAATACATGATGCAATTAAAAGAATAGCCCTGCTGCCAAAATAAGTTATTTTCTAGTTATTGCCTGAAATGGTTTGGTAAGCTCCATTTTCATATATATATTATTTTGCCAGGGAAAGGCAATCTGATGCACACCTTGAAACCTCAACCCCTACAGTCCCTTGCTTTTAGACATGGTATCTGGGAATGAAATCCAAGAAGCTGAAGGACACAAGGTTACCTATTTCTTTCATAGGTGGTCTCCCTCCTTGGCGTAGTCTAGTTCAAAGCCTAGAAACTTGTGGCTTCTATGTCTTCCAGTAGTCCTGCTCAGACTAGCCAATGTTGAAAAATAGTAGGAACTCAGCTTGACAGTTCTGGAGGTCATAGTTTCCCCAGTCTGGTTTGGTACAGCTATCAGAAGACCAAGATGGTTGAGCAGATTCTGGAAAAACATATGGAGTGATATTAAAGAGGAGGCTCCTGACTTTTAATAAATCCATAAAATGAAAAAAGCTCAGAAGGTGCAACTTGGTAATACAAGCTATACACATTGAAATTCCTTCATCAACCCAATTATTGAGAATAGAATAAAAGCTCTATTCTCTGTTGGAGCTGGTCATCAATCATAGATCAAGGAGATGTTCCAAATCTGGCTGGTGGATGAATTCAGATATTAGATCAAGCTAATAATGAGAAGGTATTATGCCTG